CTGATTTTTTTCAGGTCTGATTTTCGCTATTGCATAATAGCGCTCTCTACTGCGAGGATCATGCATCACACGTATCTAATACCGCAGTTCAAAATATATTAACTTCATATATACATTGTATCTGTACACAATTTTGTTGAAGGTCATTTGACATTCCTTGAAATTTCTTGGAATTTAATGCCGAAAGATTGCTACAAATGCCTATTAAGTCACAATCAAGACTCTTTCTAATCGGAGCCTCTCTATTTCTCAATTGTAGGAAAAAACGTACCAGAAATGAGAAAGACAACGAAAATAATGGCTGAAATGATTAACACAGCATATGTGGTTTCAAATAGATCTAGCCCCGTGAGTTCGTACACGAATTGAAAATGTAAGGTGTAGAATTTACGAAAAAGCACTTCACTTTAGGCGAAAAATGCTAACAATTTTATATACAAGTGTCCCTGGCAGAGCGGCTGGATTTTCCCAAAAAGAAGTCAATAAATAAGGGTTTTATTTGGTTTCTTACTCGGAGTAAATCTCAATAAAATAATTTTTTTAGAGTTTAGCTAAGGAGATACCTGTTGTCCTGATTTCCAAAGACGCACCTGAACCGCGTCGGTAAGTTCTCCAACACTCAACTGTTTCAATTGCCTTATAAGACTGATTGTTAAGGTCAACAAAATCTTTCCATAAATAGCGAGTGCTTTGTATCGATCAGCTTCCGCTCCAGTACAATCCCACTACCCAACCAGAGGACACTTGCTTAAGAATAATTAGCCTAAAAAACGTGCTACTTCCCAATCGACGTGAAGGTCGCACACTTTGCTTGCCATCACGCGCATGACTGGTGTAATCGTGTTTGTTTTGTTTTGTTTTGTTTTGTTTTGTGAAAATTTTAAGCACATGAACTTTAGATTGAAAGGTTTGATTTAAATTAGACACAACCTACGTATAATTTATACCACAAAATACGCCTCAGGCTTTAGGAAAATTAGCATTACCCACGCCTTTCTTAGTATTGCGACTTCAGTGGAAATGTAAGAAACCAATCTCCTTCAAGCCATGCAGCTATTTATCATGTGTTCATTTACCACAATGCAAGCTATGTTCATCAACTCATGATTTCGTTGAGACCTTTATTTAGACGTGGTTTTACATCATTGTTCCTGAAATCGTGTTGACATCGTAAAGATAAAATGGAAAGACTTTCTCTTCAGTTTTCCCTTAGGAGCATTGCGAGAAAACCCTCTAAAATCGTGTGGGCCCGTTTATTTTGCGCTAAGAAATTGGGTTGGAGTTGGAGTGTTTGCAGACTTACTGACGCGATTCCGGCGCGACTCTTGGAAATCAAGACAGCAGGCAAGTCCTTGACTAAGAAATCATGGGTCAAGGCTAACCAAATTGCACGAGCCCGTAGGGTGAGTTCAATTTGAGGTTTTGGAATTATTTACGGGGGCTGATTTATCCCAAATTTCACGAGAAAAATCATATGATCACCAGTCAATAATTAGTTCTTATTAACCGAGCGGGAGGTCAGTATGATGTTGACCGAGGTCGCCAGTACAGACCGCCGAACGCAGTGAGGTCTGTACTAGCGACCGAGGTCAAGATTCTCCCATACAGACCGACCTAGCTCGGTTATTAATAAGATGTTTATTGTATGGCTGTGTCTTATATGCCAATTTTTCATTTTCTTTATACCTTTTTTTCTAGACCGATCTAGATGCCGGTCTAGAAGGGAAAATCTAGACCGCTTTCAATATTGATTTCAGCCAATTAAATTCGTGAATTCGGTAGTTCCCAGTCCTTGTGAGACACAGCCATATAAATAATATATACGCAAAATATGACTTTGTTTTCCTCTCAGTTAGTTGTTTTTATTTCGTGTCAAGGCTCACTGGTTCAGCCACTTGCTGACTTGCCTTCTTACCGAAGAAGTCGGGCTATTCGCTAAAAAAATGCTTCAAACTCGAAACTTTCTATTACGAATAATGTTAGGTATCAGAAGACAGCAGTAACCATTACACAAAAGTTATCGCGCTTGTAATCTTCCCCGTCTTTCGTACGAACCGTTGCGTAAAACTCTGCGAGACTGTTATTCAGGGCGTTCGGTTTATACTTTCATCGCTGATTTTGGGAGTCCACGACTTCTAGACTTTAAGCCAGTTGTTTTTCCTATGCAAGGTGTTTTTCTTTTTAGCATTCTTTATCAAACTCTAAATTAAAACGTTGGTACTTTCTCCCCACCTTTCCGCCATTTTGTTTTGTAGTGCTTTCGCGCTATTAA